TGCAATGTGGGCTTTGTGTTCTTAAGGAGTGTTTGGCAATTTCTATTTGGCTGATGTCTCATGTTAGCTTCTATTGCTCTGCTGTTGTTAGCTGTAAGTTTTGCTGCAAGGGATTTTGAAGTATTTTTCTCCTGAATGGATTTTGCCTGTAGCATTCCTTTACTTATGAATGGAGCCATTTGGGGAGGCTGCCTTAGCCGGCAGCCAGTACTTACATTTTTTTTTCTTCCTTAAGTGCCGGCTGCGCTCCTTTCCTTTCTAGCCAGTAGCTGATTCTTAAAGGGGAATGTGCCTTTTTAAGCTAGTTCACTCAGCAGCTTGTCTTTTCTGTCTCTGGAGGCCTTTCCTTGTTTGATCAATATATGGAAGAGGGAAAATATGGGGGGGGGGTCAAATTCTTTCTTCAGAAGGAGATGGGAATGAGAAAAAGGGAGGCAGGGAAGGGAGGGAGGAAAGGAAGTCCCGCCTTAGCACTTGGCCACTGCAGCTCTGCCATTGACTTTGCTTGTCAAAAGATTGCAGAAGGGGATCACATGACCCTGGAACACTGTGACCATTATAAATATGAATCAGTTGCCAAGCATCCAAATATAAATCACATGACCCTGGGTGTTGTGTCCTGAGCCTGCAGGAGCAGGCTCGAGATGTTGCAAGAGTCCCGGGCATTTGCAGAAGCTGCCCGGGACCAGACTGAGTGGCGCCGGCCTTGCGCGCATGCGCAAGGCGGGAAAAGACCGCCTTGTGATTGGTTGGATTTGCCCGGGGATCAGAAGGTATAAATAGAGGCCTGCGTGCCTCTGCTCGGGTTGTTCGTAGATTAGAAGCAGAGAATAAAGACTTGTTAGAAATGCTTCGTCTCAAGCGCCATTATTCTCCGGACTTAACACTGGCGACGAAGGTGGGATACAGTCTATACAGCTAGGGAAGCTTGAAGACTCACCCAAAGAAGTCCGGAAAAGGAAAACGGCGTGGAAGTCAGCGTTATCCTGCCAGTACGAAATCACTGGAGGGTGCGTGCGGCTGAAGAAGACTCTGATCCTCGATCATGGCGAAAGTTGGGCGTTTAGCGGACTTCGACGTCTCTCACCCCGAGAGGTGGGAATCTTATGTTGCAAGAGTCGAGACTTACTTCCGCGTAAACCAGATAAGGGAGGAAGGCTTAAAGGCTGCCACAATGTTGTGCGTTTGTGGGCAAGACACCTTTGAGATCGCCGAGAACCTAATCGCCCTGGCCTCGCTGGAAACGGTGTCATACTCCGATCTGAAGAAAGTTTTAAAGGAACACTTCCAGCCCAAGCAATCTGTCATGGCTTGGAGGCACACATTTCAACAGAGGGATCAGCGAGCTGGGGAATCAGCAAAAGAATACNTCAGGAAACATGGAGATGAGTTCAGAGGGGTTGGAAAACTCCATAGGGGGTAGGTCAACCAGGTATAGCGATCAACAGAGTTCTGACTTCTCGAGCCTAGGAGACGGGCAGGAAAGTCAAACAGAAGTCACAAGACAACCACAGGGCAATTCACCTAGTGTGGGAAGCAACGGGGAAAACACTACAAGTTCCCCAGGTCCGAGAAGGTCGCTAAGGGTCAAAGGCCCTCCCAAATACCTTGCAGATTACGTAAGGTGAGCATGTAAATTGCAAATACTGAACTAGAGGTCCAGGCTGGTTGACTCTACGGAAACGATGTTGGGCCATTGGGTCTCTGTACGACGGAACAGCCCCACATCTTACACACACTGTGTGACTTTAACTCAACAGTTAATTATATAACCATCACTATGATGGCGTCCATGTGGGCGCAGTATTATTTCATCTAGGGGGGAGGGGTGTTGTGTCCTGAGCCTGCAGGAGCAGGCTCGGGACGTTGCAAGAGTCCCGGGCATTTGCAGAAGCTGCCCGGGACCAGACTGAGTGGCGCCGGCCTTGCGCGCATGCGCAAGGCGGGAAAAGACCGCCTTGTGATTGGTTGGATTTGCTCGGGGGTCAGAAGGTATAAATAGAGGCCTGCGTGCCTCTGCTCGGGTTGTTCGTAGATTGGAAGCAGAGAATAAAGACTTGTTAGAAATGCTCCGTCTCAAGCGCCATTATTCTCCGGACTTAACACTGGGCATGCTGCAATGGTCATAAGTGTGAAAAATGGTCATAAGTCATTTCAGTGCAATTGCAACTTTGAACAGGTTTTTTTTTTTTGGTCATCAAGTTTTTGACACCTTGCTAGGTGGTACTCGAATATTGCCATATTCTAAAAGTGGTACAATCGGTAAAAAGGTTGAAAAGCCCTGTCCTAAAACATCTCAGCTGTGCAGGATTGGCTACACATAGATGGACCACAGGGGGAGGGCTAGGGGAACCAGGGGTTTAGTTCTGTATTGGTGCCCAGGAATTTTAGATTCCACTTGATTTTACTGCAACCAGCATCTCTTAGTAAAAATATCTTTTGTCTTCAACCAAATGGAGTCAAGAGTTTACTTCCCTAGGACAGGGCTTTTCAACCTTTTTACCAATTGTACCTCCCCAAATGGCTCCATTCATAAGTAAAGGAATGCTACAGGCAAAATCCATTCAGGAGAAAAATACTTCAAAATCCCTTGCAGCAAAACTTACAGCTAACAACAGCAGAACAATAGAAGCTAACACGAGACATCAGCCAAATAGAAATTGCCAAACACTCCTTAAGAACACAAAGCCCACATTGCACAAATCCCAGAACTTCAAAGTCACAAAAGCACATAAGAATCCTTCCACTCTCCATCTCCCTCCCTCCTGCCTCACCTCCAGCCATTGCTGCCTTTTTTCATTTCTCTTGGAGGGCGACCCCTCCCCCGCTGCATTTCTTGCCTGTTTGCTGCTGCCAGCACAGGTGGCTGCCACAGCAGTTGTAGATCGGCTCATGGCCAGCCTGCTTCATCATCATCATCATCATCATCATTATCATCATCATCATCATCATTATCATCATCTCCTCCTCCTCCTCCTCCTCCTCCTCCTCCTCCTGTGCAGCTGACTCCACCTCCTCCCAAGGCTGCTGCTTTTTTCTCTCTCTCCCTCTCCTGCCCAAACTGCCTCCTTTTATAGCCTCTCCTGTCTCCGCCCCCTCCTCCTTTCTCATGGGGGAGGGTGAGTCAGAAGTGAGCCTGGGGCCTTTGCAGCTCCAGAGGACTCTCTCACTGTAAGTCCTTGCCTGTGCTGGCTCTTTCCCTCCCCCACTACACTTAGCTAGGCAGGGCTGCGTACCACCTGCCACTCATTAATGTACAACAAGTGGTACGCGTATCACCGGTTGAAAAGCCCTGTTTTAGGAAATGCTGAGGTGTTTGGGCTGGTGAAATTCCACTCTCAGAGCAAACAGCCTTGAAGATGCCAGCACGCTAGCCCTAACTAGATTCCAAAGCACTTTATTCTCCCTCAACTGTCAACCCCCCCTCCCAATTTCCCATCATAAAATAATCCAGCTTTATTGCCCATTTGTTCCCCCCTCCCTTCCCCAGTTAATGGCAGAACACAGCAAGGTGCCAAGCCAAAGATGGTGGATCTGACACTGAGATACACACTCCACACTGAATAAATGTGTATGCAACAGTGACAAGGCTTTTTTGTAAAAACTCAGACAGGTAACTTCATCTTTCCCTTTTTCTTGGGAACATGGAGTTCATTCTTTCTCTTTTCTTGGGAATAGGGAGAATTGCACAAAATTGATTATGCATTCCAAATATACATTTTAATACATGGGGCTAGCGAAGCTTTGCTATGACAGCAGACTAGCCAGGCATGTTTGAATATTTAAGACTATTCATTTTTAACTTGAAGATTTGAGTGCCCTCACATCCAAGCAAATGTCAAAACCTATCATACTGTATGTGACTTCTTATCATACCTTATCATAGTTAAACCTTTAGCCATGAAACTTTTAGCCATATCAGCCTGTAGTCCCACAGAAACCATGAGACATTGTTTCCTTGGATTTTATTACTGAACTATCACTTTTCAAGAGTTTAGCTGCTATACTAGTTAAACTTTTAACAAAGCTGGATCATTTTATTTTCTGTAAAAGCCTTGTTTGTGCAGTACAGAATGCTTGTTTACTCATCTGCTATATTTTGGTACTAAGGTGTCCCCAATCACCTTATCTCAAATAGCATTCATCTCATGGATTGTTTTGGAAGTATATTCCCTCCCCCAATATTTAGATGTTAAGCTCTATTTTTCTTGGATACATCAACCACAAGCTCATGGTGATACTTAAAGGACCTATTTAGTCCTGGAATAACACTTTCACTGTGAACTACCAGCAAGGCAACTGGCCTAAACTATTACCTATGGCTGAATTCTCATATGACAGCTTCATATTCTACATTTGTTCCCTATGCCATCTGTTAAGTCTGGAGAAATATGGCGCTTGAGACGAAGCATTCTCCAACAAGTCTTTATTGTTTGCTCCATTCTACGAACAACCCGAGCAGAGGCACACAGGCCTCTATTTATACCCTCTGATCCCCGGGCAAGTTTAACCAATCATGAGGCGGGCTTTTCCCGCCTTGCGCATGCGCACAAGGCTGGCGCCGCTCAGTCTGGTCCCGGGCAGCTTCTGCAAATGCCCGGGACTCTTGCAACGTCCCGAGCCTGCCT